TCAGTTTTAATTAAACTCTCACAAATTCATTGCCTTTGTACATAGGACACTCATCATTTTCCCCATTTCTCCACCAGATCAAAGTTTTGTTAAGCCTTCTCTTTACTCCGTCCATTAGCACAACTTGATTGCATTCAATACATTCAATACACATTTACAATCCCTTTATCTAATCTCCTTCAAAAATCCTGATAACATTAAAGCAGTATTAAGCAAGTCTGTATCCCATCACAATACTTTATACATGACAGCTAGGATCAATACATACGCAGTTCCTTAATTAAGGGATTAATGGTCAGTTGGTAAAACTCAATCTCTTAGCATATGAGTCATTAATTTTGGATGTCATTAATTCATTTTCTAAACTCTGAGGCCTGAGGTCAACCAGTAGCCTTAAGCAGTGCTGTTCTCTCTGCTTATTCTGAGCTATTTCTATGATGCAATTACATGGAGTGAGCTTTTTAGATAAAATAAAATACCCTTTCTTATGTCCCTCTGGAACATACATCAGAAGTTGGTGGGGCGTGCAGAAAGGCCTTTTCAGATTCTTAGTGACAAAGCTGCCCATGCATGAGCAGCCAGGAATCTAACACAAAGGAGAAGGATGGAGCCAGCTGGATCAGGAGGTTTTGCAAGCCATACATGAGCTGGACCCACAGCAAAGTCCTCTGATGCCTTTGGGGCACCACACCATAGATGTATTGAAGCCCTTTCAACTAAACAAAAAAATGAATGATAACAGAAACTCTCCATTGAGTACAAGACCTATCTTGTAGCACGACTTACAGTAGAAAGCAATGCTAAGGATGTGCTTACAAAAGCCAAAATGACAGCATCACTCTCCCCCTACAAATCAGAATTCAGCTCCCATGCCACCATCACCACCCTGATGTTTTTCTTCTGTCCTCAAATTTTTAGCCTTACAGTAAGTTAAAACTTTAAGAGATATAGTTTAGCCATCCAATGAAAAAGAGCAGGCAAAGTTAATAAAAGAATGGAAACACAACAAATATATGAGTTCTAGGTGTGAACTATTTTCAATTTTTCATTGATAGAAATTTCAGAACTGATAGAAAATCTCAGGGGAGAAACAACATTCTTATTTGGAAAGCCAATGCTCCCATTTTGCCTTCCCTGCAGCTACACCCTGACTATGTATTTATTCTGAATGTGTAAATTTATATATACTAAATCACTTATATGTATAAAGAAAGATGCACTTTATACAGTTCCATGGACAAAAGTAGTTACATCAGCCAAACACCCAACTGATCTATTTATCCATCTGTTTGACACAGCTGTTACCATTTGTATGGGAGTTTCTTTTCTTTAAATAATAAATAAATAATAAAACTTTATTTATATTCCGCTCTATCTCTCCAAAGGGACTCAGGGTGGATTCCAAACAGGCAAACACTCAATGCCCGAATGCAACAATAATACATCCATATTAACAAAATTTATACAACCCAACATATAAATATGAATTATAACTTAACAAACTAAAATTAAATAAAAACCACACCCTGTTATAACACACATAAGGCATAAGATAAAACATCAAACATCAAATGGAAACAATAATTTCCCATTTCTTTGGGGCAAATTGATTCATCATTGCTCAAGATATCTATTGAATGGATGACATACAGCTATGGCTCTCTCATTGTGATACGTCAATCAAAGAAAATGCCAGACTTGTTGAAACTGCCTGTCTTACATGACTGGAGAAATGTCCAAAGGTTATTATAGTTTGATTATAGTTTGTTTTATATTTTGAGAATACTGAAAACTATAATTTTTTCTGCATGCCCGAGTGACCTTCCAGCTTGTGTTTTTCAAACAACAGCCTGTTTTAAGTGAAAGGTAGTATGATGATAATAGCAACAACGACCACAACTCATAACCCAAATTACTGTTGAAACTGAATGGATCTGCACCATCAATTTGTGACAGAACAAGAGTCAACATCTGTGTGTGCTGTTTAAAGTATTTTAAATCTGACAGCTCTTCAGACCCAACAGTGGAACCATACTTTATATTTTAACACTTAAGCATTTTCGGTATGTGTCTGAATTACATAATGCTGGTATGTAAAGAGGCACTATGATTTTTTGCTGAACACCATAAAATCTTTAAAACCAACTGTACCATCATTAACCAAATACATTAAATGATCTGTTCTCTGAATGATAATGAACTTAGACTTCTCTAATTGTCCCAGGTCTCATAGAAAAGAGGACTAAAGATAATGACCCTCCCCCCCCTCCAAAGTTCTAATTTGGGTGTTCCCTTTGGGTTATGTTTTCGGTTCTTGTTGCCAGTGTTCTATGGGAACATGATTCCTTTCTTCTCTCCCAGACTTGCTTCCTTTGCAGCATTCTTTCTTGCTCCACAAACAACCCTGTACTGCTTCCATTAAGTGCACAGCAAAGGGTTGTGTGGGCTGAGGAAACCACAAACAAAGTGAGACTGAGAACTGAGAATCTAACATGGCATGCAGTGAAAGGCCTTTCCCTTGTCACAGTTCTATAATTGTGTGGAAACGGTTCTTCACATTTGGTGGTGAAGACAAAGAAAAGTGAGATTCCACAAATACAACTCTGGTATGGAGAGTCCTCTCCTTGTGTTTCTTTCATTTTGATTTTTGATGTAATAGTGCAAAACCTAGCCATGGGATGTTCCAGCTCAGTAACCCAGCATGTTATTTAGGAGTATGTCTGAATTCAATTTTTAGTCCAGTCTCAATGGACCTCAGTCCCACAACTTGTTTATAATAACAGGTTTCCTTCCTGTCATTTCTGTCATGGAATATTACATTAATTTGCATTTAAATGTCATATTGACATTTTTAACGCACACTAACCTTCTTCAAGAAGACACTGACTCATGGATTAATGGTATGCAAAGCAGAATACACCTTTCCTGGGAAAGAAGCTTTCAACCATAAAAAAATGCCCCTGCTGTTTTGTGGCTTCCTGAATTACATTTGCAACTCTATCCAGAACCTTTGGTTCAGTACTCTCATCATCTACATACCTGACCACCCTTTCAACATTTGGCTGTGTGGCATGTAGAAATCAACTTTTCAAGGACATTTATTAGGACATTTGCTCATCTTTTCCAGGCATTCATGCACAGATTGATTTCTATAGCTGTATTCTCAGTTATGTGCTACTTTATTAGTTGTCTTTCTTTTTCTTCACAATATTATTATAAAGAAATCATTCACATCCTCAATCATCCTCAATCTCTGGGAAGGTTTCCTATAGCTTTCTAAAACAGCACAAATTTCTTAGCCATATCTTTCAAACTGCTCTTTTCCCTTGTCTTTCCATTCTTATATTCCAAAACACCCTCAACCATGATTATTTGTTTCTCTAATGTTATCAGCTTTAGGGTGGATCTAGACAGCCCCTTTACTGATAAAAGGGGGGGGGGGTGGGCTGTCCAGAAAACCCTGGTTTGTGGCGAATTAATTTGATAGTGGGTTTATTCCGTGCCTTCTTGGAAGGCGCGGGATAAACCCACTACTTCCGGTGTCTGGATGCCAGAATACTGCCGTCCAGACACTTCCCACAGCTTTCTGGGCTAATTTAAACTAGTCCAGAAAGCTGTGGGAATACCAACCCCCTTCCCAGAAGCCCCCTAAATTCAATAAAAAGCAAAAGAACTCACCCTGCCTCCATAAAACGGTTGCCAGAGTTCTCTCGGCGCATACAAATGATGTGCCAGGAGAAAGTGGGGAGAAGGAAAATCACTCCTGCCTCTCCCCACCTTCTCCTGGTGTGTCATTTGTACATGTCAGGAAAACCGTTACATGGAGGCAGGGTGAGTTCTTTTGCCTTTTTATTGTTTTTAGGGAAGCTTCTGGGGAGGGGGTTAAGTGTCCCAGTGTTGTACTGGGAAGTCCAAGGACAACATCTGGACACCCACCTCAGAAAGCGCATCCTTTCTGGGGTGAGTGTGGACAGGGCCCCAGGAACATCTGTGTTTTTTAAAGTGTGGATGCTCCTGGGATAAAGTCTTGTCTGGAAAGGCCTTTCGCTGCTCAAAAGTCTCCCGATTTTCAACAACTCTGCACTTGGTAGCTCTGAAGCTTAGAGCTCCTCCTTGAACTTCAATTGTAGTACCATCAGCCATTCCCTCTTAAAAGAAGACTATACACTCTCAAATATTGTTTCAGGGCCTTCCTAAATGTGTCTAAATGGGCTGTCTTTGTATCAGTTTGCTCTATACAAAGGAATATTGACTTCTCAAGTAATTCCTGAATATATACCTTGAGAACCACAGTTCTCAAAAATGTTCTCAGAACTTACTCTCATTTATTCCTTTTCCTAAGCCAAATATTAATCTCTTTGTGTACTCTGGTATATTTAGATGAAAGCTGAAGAGGGCTCCTGTATCTTTAATGGTTCTACAGAAGAGTGAATTTGGCAACTATTCCTTGATAGCTGGTTGTGTTGCAATTAATACTTCCTGAAATTCTCTCTTCTGTGTAATCATTAGAGATAGAGGGGCAGCGTTTATTGTTACTTCTGGTGCATTTGCCTCAGTTGCTACATCCTAGAAGTTACTCCGAGGCCCCTTCCACACAGCTGTATAAAATCCATATTGGACTGGATTATATGACAGTGTGGACTCAGATAAGCCACTTCAAAGCAGATACTGTGGATTGTCTACCTTGATATTCTGGATTATATGGCTGTGTGGAAGGGCCCTGAGGCCCCTTATACACTGTCCTTATATCCCAGGATCTGATTATCCCAGATTATATGGCAGTGGATACTCATATAATCCAGTTTAAAGCAGATAACCTGGGATCAGATCCTGGGATATAAAGAGAGTGTAGAAGAGGCCTGAGCTTCCCAGAGAAAACAACAAAAACACACTGCTACACTGAGGTTTTGTTTTTGTTTTTTTTAAGAATTTCCCTACATTTTATTTCTGAGGTAAGAAAGACCAGAACCCATGTATTCATTCATTAAAAATCTTGTTACCTGAGTCTCTGGCAGCCATGGTCCTCATGCTCTGGGAGGCAGTTGCTCGGGCTTGAAGAGTCTAATGGCAAATGTGTCCGCAAAGCTACTGCAGATATACCCACGGAGATGGAAGAGAAGTTTAGCAAGGCAGAGGTGATTTGGTCTAAAGCAGCATTTTCTGTTATGTTGATGACCAGTGGGTTCTCTTCACACGAAAGCTCATACGTTGCTGAGGAATAAAATAACTAAGTCCAAGTTAAAGTCTTCCTAAATTAGAGGGGCCTCTTGGGCTAAATTGGGTTTGTGCAAACATAAAATTATCCATTTTGGAAAGATATTGCTACCTGACTCAGCAATACCTTCTCCCCCTTCCCATACCTTGCATATAACATACTTTCTAACTTGTCACTGGAAGGCAAATATGGACTTAATTTGCACATCTGATTGCTAATCATTGATCTCTGAAGAAATTCCATGGTGGTGGGATAGTTTAATCATAGGGAACACAGACTCTCTTTAACATCTAAGGAGGGTGAGGAATTTGTTCAGAAGGTTGGCATGGGATTTGGAGCATGAGAGAGGCAGCAAGGAATTCAGGAATTATTGTTTGGCCAATCAAGATATACTTTAGAGAAGACTCTGTAAAGTTTATTTCAGTTTTCAGCAGACTGTAAAAAGGATAATTTTCATATTTTTATAATTCTGGAATCAGATTTTCTGGGAATTCTGTTTCTAATTTTAAGGTGTGTTTTTAAAAACCCTGCAATTCTGTTTCCAATCTAAGAATGTTATTGGTATCTCTGTTCTAGGGATTTTAACCCTTTCAATTCAGCTATGTTCTGGTGGTAGGTATAACATAACATAACAAAACTGCTAAAATAATGATGTGTCTAAATGTATTTATAGCTCAATTTTGACTTCTCCTTTTTTTAAAAAAAGGGATCACTTTCAGCACAATCTGGATATCAAGATTGTATGTATTAAATAAATTTCCTCTAATGAACTCATTCAATGGGCGACTAGACATTCAATAATGATTTAATTTTTAAACTCCTCAGTGCACCCTAAATGCAGTTGTGCACTTCAAGAGTCACATCCACGTGGACAGAATCCCAGAATCAACATTTAAAAACTGCCATGCTGAAGAATTTTACAGGTCACATATAAAATGCTGAAAAACATGTTTACAGGAGGTGAAAACAGAATAAACAACATTCTACAAGCAGCTATGAAATGTTATGTGGCTCTCTGAGGAAAGAAGAAAAACAACTTTTCAAACAAAGTTGTATGCATTTTATGCATTTTGATTGGCCCATTTTGATTTGTGAGTTTTGTTGTATTTTGCTCTATAGCTAACACAGTTCCCTCTGAATATTATTTCCTTAATTACAGTGGGATTCTTTTTCCGACATCAAAAAACCAGTGAATAAAAGAAAAGAACATGTTATTTGCAAACAGTAGACAGGAGCCTCTGTGAAAATCCACTACATTGCTTCTGCACTCACCAATATAATGGCGGTGTCCATTAATGTCTAGCAAATGAACCGTTACAGTAGATGTGGGCTGGTCACTGGTGGATGAGCCAACGGATGCCAGGAAAACAAAAAGTGAGGTCGCTGTGCTGGGTCTGTTGAAGCACACCTGGGCTCCAAGATATAATGAAAGGATGAACACATTAGGCCAAAACAGGTACATCACACATCTCCCAAAACATTACATTGTCTAGCAAACTTTAGAATGTAGACTATTGTTGGCCTTAGCTTCATAATTATTCCTTGAGCTGAGCAGGCACGTCTGGAAAAACTTAGTTTGCTTGCTATTACTGCTGTGCCTAGCAGCCAAGTTTTCTAATTTTTCTCCTCAAAAAACTCCAACCTATATGGGATAAGTGCAACATAATACAACTTAGTGAATCAAATCATACAGCAGAGGTTGGTCCTCTGGATACTGCTGAATGGCAGATCCCAAAACGTATTCAGTATAACCAAAGATTATGGATGCCAGAATTGCAGTTCTACAACTTCTGGAGGGCCATACAAATCCTACATGCATTTTAAGCCATGTCGTAGTGCCACTGTTATTTGGGGACATGCCTAAAGAAGTGAAATGTGCTGATTCAGCTACATATAACGGCTATCTCATACAAGTGGCTTAGCACCTGTGTTCTAGAGTGCCATCTCTTGGCCATTTCCAGAAATTCATATGTATGGCACAAGTTCTCATTTATACTTTTAAATCCTCCTTTTAAAAACTTCTGATAAAGAGAGAAGGAGCCAGATAAATAAAGTGCTATACTGTGCTTACTAAGAGTTTAGGAATTAAGTATTTGTGGAATAAAATGTTAGAACAAGTGGAGGGGGAAAGTATGGCTCATGCTTTATTGGCAGGATAGAAGATGGTCTATTGAAGCACTGAGAAGCTGCATTCGGTCAGCAGTATCACTAACTACTTGATATTTATTTATTTCAGGTATTTCTACCCCGCCCTTCTCAACCCCCAAAGGGGGACTTAGGGCGGCTTCCAACCGGCATACATTGATGCCTACAATTCACACAGTAAAATACATAGTAACAATAAATTATAACAGTTAAAACATTACATTAATACAATACAATATAAAAATACAATAAAATGCCAGCCTGGTGGCCATCGTTTTTCCAAGTCCGTAATTAATAAATTCATTCCGCTTATCATAGTCCGTTTCCAAAGCTTTAGTCGTCATTGTCCATTGTCAGTCTGCCAGATTATGCCTACGATCTTCAGGGCCCTCAGAATTTATTTATTTATTTATTTACTTCATTTGTATACCGCTCTTCTCAGCCCTTAGGCAACTCAGAGCGGTTAACAGCAACAGTTTCAGTATACACAGTTCAAAATCATTGGGAATTTAAAAGCAATAACCTAACAAATTAATTAAACAGTAAACATCAATACAACAATACATCAATATAACAAATCTGTCAGAATTCCCTGCATGTTTTTCCCCTTATGGTTTTAACAACATCATATGTGTGTTTTTATATGACTGTGCCCTTAATTACTTGTTAACCTCATGAATTTAATGGGATTTTCTCAGACAAGGAATACTCAAAGGTTGTTCTTCTTTGCTATCCTCTGAAATATAACCTACAGCATTTTGGTATTCATTGGGATGGCCCTGCTTGGCTTCCAGGATTAGATTAAATTTACCAGAGAGTAAGACCCAATGAGCTCAATAGTACATGCATCTACCAGCAGAGAGTATTTGAGGATCGGGACATTCGTAGGGATACCAAGATGCTTGTTTATAAAGCTATTGTCTTCTCAACCACATGTGAACTATGGACCATCTACAAACATCACTCTTGACTTCTGGGATGATTCTATCAGTGTTGCCTTCAAAAAATACTGCAAATCTCTTGGGGATACAAGCAAACAAATGTCAGCATGCTGAAAGAAGCAAAGACCACCAGCACGGAAGCAATAATTCTCTGCCATCAACTTTGCTGACTGGCTACCTCATCCAAAGGATCATCATCTTCCAAAGCAATTGTTTTACTCTCAGCTCAAGAACAGAAAACAGGATGTTGGTGGATAGCCAAAGAGATTTAAAGATGGGCTTAAAGCTAACTTTTAAAATGTATAAAATGTATACCCAATTCTGGGTATAAACACCCAGAACTGGGAAGTCCATGCTCTTGAACATCTAACTGGAGGTCAGCTATTACAAACACTGATATGGATTTTGAAGAGGCACAAATAGAGAAAGGGAGAAATGTGCCAAAAGGAAGGTGCATCAAGCAAACCCTTGTCGGGACCACCTTCAATATGGAAATCTATGTCCTCAATGTGAAAGACCATGTAGATCCAGAAAAGGTCTCCACAGTCACTTGCTAACCCACTGTGAAGACTCTACCCTTGGAAGACAATTATACCTGGCCACGAGTGATCGCCTGTGATTATGATTTGTATCTACCAAAAATTTCATAGGACTGTGCTGTTAAAAAAATTACTGATTAAATGTCTTCTTTGCTGTTTTCATATTTTTGTATGTTTGGGTTATACTATATTGCCCCTGAATCTTGATAGGATGACGGATGGTGTAAAATATTTAAAATAAATAAATTGAAAGGGACAGAGAGAGGAGAAACTGACATCTTTATTACTTGGCCATAAATAATTTTATGGGTGGAAAATAATAAAGTATGCAAGTAGTGCCAGAAATGAGAGCTTTTAATAAAAACATCTATGAAGGAAGGGAATTGACCACAAAATGCAATAAAATTGGAATGCACTTTTGATCTCTGCTGAAGAGTGGGAAGTGAACCTCACTCAAGCGGTGTAGAAAGGGCTACTCTTCTTTGTTACTGCAGTTAAGTAGCTAGCTGCCCTAACATTAACAGCAGAGAAAAGCAGAACAGCCCAAAAGTATTAAGACTGGGAGTGGGATAAACAAAGCAAAACTACTTTTTGGAATACTTGCTGGCTGGAGCTATAGTAGAAAGGAATAACTTGGAAGACGGTTAGCCTACACAAAAGCCTAGGTGACAGATGACTGACTGAAGAATGGAATGATCAATCCCTTTTAGCTATGCTGGGATAACTGCGTAGAAATGCAGTTATTGGTGTTCTTTTATAGTTGTCAATCTACGCAGTCACAGAATGGCTTTTATGCCTATACAGATTATCTTCAGACCCTTTTGAGGTCACCAAATTGGACAGGTTGCATTAGGGAATGTGAAAATACTTTCCCAGTCAATTCCTTCTGCTATCAACAAGAACAAAAAAAAAAAACTAATGAAATCCCTTGGCAATGGTTCTAAGTCAGCTACAGAAATGTATTGTATGTTTCCTTTAGGAACATCAGTGCCAGGTATGCCACCTGTCTTCTTGTCTGTGAAAATAACTGGTAGGTTAATGTATATGAAGATAAAGCATTCTGTGACAGGGATTTTGCTAGGCAAAAGTTTGAAGACACATCAGCCCCTTAAGTTGAATAAACCTTGATGCTCACAGGAAGAGGCTAGTTTTGAACTAGTAACAAAAATCACTTAGGACTTAATCAGATGCATTGCAGAAAGTGGAGGAGGGCAGGGGGGGTTGTCTCCTTAGCAAAGCATATATCTCCTTCAGTTTTAAAAGATGTTTTATTTTTATAATCCCATCAGATGCTTTAGGTTCTCCCATTGTATACTGTGTCCTGAACCCCGCCCACACCACATTCTTTTAAAAAAAAACAAGGAAAGGAAAGCAAAGTTTATCGATTAGTCCACTGACCCAGGCTTGTAGCGAGGGGGTGGTTTTAGGAGTTCAACCCCCCCGAAATGTTTCAGATTTTTTTTTTAAAAAAAAACCTGGTTTACTCATGAATTTTAACTGGTTAACCAAATCCCCATGCTAAGTCTATGAGATGCAAAAAATTAAGAGTCCCTCCAGAACTGCAAGCACTATCTCAAGCAAATATTGACAATTTATTCACACTGTCATTACTTGCAGCAATAGCCGATGTAGTGAAGCAACCAAGTTGGGGGGGGGGGGGGGGTTGAATGCTCTCATTAAGGAGGCCAGACTTGGTGGAGGTGGTTGACAGGGGCGGAGCTGCAGGCTACTGAAGGCTGCTCTGCCCCCTGCTGTGCTCTTTGCTTCAGCGTGAGCTAGGAGGCAGGTTTCAACTCCCCCCCCCCGTGAAATTTTCAACTCCCACCCCCCGAAAATTTCAACCCCTCCCAAAAAGTTTTTCTGGCTACGGCCCTGCATTGACCGTATCAACATTAAAAACAAAAACAGAAACGTATACAAATAAACAATAATCACTATCCTAAGACTTCCATAATAGTGAACTAACATACATTCAAACTTGATTAAGTTAAAAGATAATTCAAATACAGGGAGAACTTCAATATCAAAAGCCAAGATTACTATGGACCTCATCCCATTTGGTGGGGAGTGAGATATTTTTTAACCCCCTTTGTCTTTCCCATGCCTTCCTTCCCTTCGTTATACCAGCATTATTATAAACCACTTTGCCATGACCCCCTCCTGTTTGGCTTTGCTTCCCTCCATTATACTAGTGTTATGTTAAAAACCTAGCAATAGCACAATTTCTATGAAGCGGAAAATGCAGCAAATGATTACATTATTTTTTTAAAAAATGACTCCACATCACTGAATTGATTCAACGCGGGCAAATCCGACACATCTCATCCCATATATTTTAATCACTTTCTCTCATTTCCAGGCACATTTGGGAACTCAAAAGACAGTTTCTCCACATCTTCTGTCCACCTCCCACACCTTCTCTACAGTTCTACTGCATTTCAGGGACAGGTGCAAAGGATGACAACTGGAAGTATTTTTATGTCATGTGAAGTAATCCATGGGACTTCATCCCTGAAATGTATTTTAGAAGTATATGAAAATGGGAGGAGGACTTGTGTCTAATGAAGTCCTTATAGAAACAATGGGAGGGCCTTCATAAATATGTATCTCCCTTGATGATAATGGGTTTTTTTAATGTTGAAGAATTCTATAGCTTTATGAAGGCTGAAAGCTAGTTACGTGAAACCAGAAGTGTACATTCTTCTGGTGCAGGTTTCCAGGGATGGAAACAACAAAAAGCTTGATGTCCTGTTACCTAACTTATCTTGATAGTTTTGATTGAA